CTTTCACCAACTTTATAACATTCCTCTTTCATAATAACTAGTTCTCTTTCAACAACAAAATATATTCTCAGACACAAGGTTGTCCTAGGGGACCTGTTCTATCACCAATTTTGGCAGAATATGTTATGGATGATCTGCTTGATACTGTTATTCCGACACTACCTTATAACCTCTTCTTCATAAAAAATACGTAGATGACATTATTTTATGCTTTCCCTCCAGAGGTTTGGACAGTATTGACGGAGATTTCAACAGCTATGACCGCTACATACAATTAACCATTGAAAGAGAAAATGAGAACCTGTCTGCCCCCTTTCTAGACACAAGACTCATCCGCACCAACAATAATAGTTTATTGGTAGACTGGTACCAGAAACCCATGACCTCAGGCCGTTTCCTCAATTTTAGGTCATACCATAAACTAAGGATTAAAATCAACTTCGTGAAGCAGATGAAAACAAGGGTAATCAGCATCTCTGATAATACTTTCCACACTTCAAATTTATGGAAGCTATCAAAACTGTTCATCAACAATAGTTATCCGAAGTGTTTACTTAACAAGATCTTGTTCAGCTCTCGTTCCAGTATTTTACCAAACTCTAATAGTCCGAGTAGTATTCTCACAACTCCTAATAATAGAACTGATATAATTCCCAACAACAATACCAATTCTAACAACAATATAACCGCCATCCCAAATTCCAGATCTGGTTTTGCTGTCCTACCCTATATCAAAGAACTCAAAGAACTGACCCCTAAGCTGATCATACTATGTAGCCCGTTGAACTGTCGAATTGCTTGTAAATCCGTCTTCACTATGAACTGTATTTTTTACAGATGAAAGACAGAGTCCCGCTGCTTGGCTTAACCAACACAGTTTACTCTATCAATTGCAATAATTGCAACCAAATATACATAGGTCAGACCTCTCGATCTCTAAAAAGAAGGATTTCATCATACAAAAGTGATTCTAGGCTTCATACCGAGAGATGTGGTCTGGCATCTCATGTCAATACAACAGGGCACTCTATAAACTACACAAGTATCAAAGTTCTTGATAAAGAAAAACACCTATCTAAATGTTTATTCCTGGAAATGTCCCACATTTTGATGAATTACAACTGTATGAATAAGAAGACAGATGTTAAGCAACTGAGCGTCATTTACTCATATTTGCTAAACTGCGAAACGTTGGAGTACGTACAAATTTCGACTTTTCACAACCATAAACGGAATCTGCGTTTTGGTCTATTCAACCCTTTTCGATCCAAAATTTCCATTCCATGCAAATTTGAATAATTGGTTTTTCTCATAATAAAATAATAATTGTTTAATTCAATTGCCCATCTCATCAACAATACAGTTTGTTCAACTGCCTCTGGTCTGCTGACAAGTTCTTATTTAACATATCTTGATAAATAACACCATCTGAAGTGATCTGGCAACACAGTACACACTTTACAAATTTTCGTACCATCCATCGCCACTGACACCACCAACTTTCTGTCACCTGTCAAATGTTTCATGCTACCTGTGATCCCGTGCCCACCATCTTGTGCAGCATCATGCGGTTCACGATGTAATTTTAACTTTTGTTTTAAATATTTTTAATCCGTTTTAATTTGTTCCTGACATACAGCTGTGTTTAGCTCATTCAAGGAGTCAAATATGTCAGTTAAATAAGCCAACTTTCATTGAAATGTGTCATTTTTGAACATTGTCAAGAAATCGTGTTTTTCTTTGAACTCCACCATCTTGTGCAGCATCATGTGGTTCACGATGTAATTTTAACTTTTGTTTTAAATATTTTTAATCCATTTTAATTTGTTCCTGACATACAGCTGTGTGTAGTTTATATTAATTTTGACGAATGTACCATGTATCCAGCATTCACTGGTTGTTTCCCTCAACCTAAACGTTAATAACATTTAGCAATAATCGCACATACGACTATAAGTTCATTTAAAATCGTTTTGCACTATAGTTGCTATTTCTTCTCAATGTTATTGCAGCTCCTCCAGAGATTAATAAAGTATACAGGTCCTCTTTGTTTGAATTTTGTCGAAGTACCCAACAATAGGCGGAAGCTTTATTTTTCACCTATATATATATATCTGTGGTATCTGAAGTATTGACGTATCAGCTATTTGTAATGCTATTTCAATTTATATCAGAAAATCTCTTGCCTTATTGGAATTTCCAATTCAAGAATTATATTTTATTATTAACAACTTCCATGCTTATACGCTAGGACTGACAGTTTTGACAATATGAAGCAATTTCCGATTAGCAAGATAACGGAGGGTGAAGCTGTATTTTTGGCTGACTATTTACAAGATTTTCCAATCGGCTTATCCTTTGGTGTTGTCGGACATATTTTTGTAGATCTCTTCTTTTTTACCGAGTCATAATTATTGTATGGAAGTGTCATTATAGAGATGTCGCAACTGAAACTCTGATCCGTTAGAATATCGACATAAATAGATAAAACACAAAACGAACGAGAAGGTTGTTTTTTTTTTCTAATAACTTGAAGTCGTAAGTAGGTAGTCCAGTTCTGCAGATTAGAAGAGAAGTTTGTCAATTTTCTATCTCCTCACTCGAGCATCATTAGTAACTAAATATAATCGTTTTCAAGGTTCATTCTTATCTAGGCTGCCTTGTATAAGGATCTTGATAGTCAAACTTCTGTCGTCTATGTATGTGAGAATAATGTGAATGCGATGAATTTTATGTCAAAGTTTCATAGAAGATACTTTTACGAATAAAAAAGTCATACATACGAAAACACAAGAAGGGAGTTCTGCTTCGATCCGTAGCTAACTCCGACATATGGCTAAGTCAAACACTACAGATAATATAACCGCTAGAGGGAAGAACTCTAAGCCCTTTGTGTAAGTACCACGACAAACAAAAGCCCGAATCGTCAGTTTTGACATTGAAAACCTATACAGTTTTCCCATACCAGCGGTTTTACGGATGATCGAACTGAAACTTAGACAAGATCCTGAGCTATAACAAACAACGAACCTGCCGTTTGAGTGAATAATAGAATTATTAATTTTCTGTTTGCAGAGCAACTACATTCAAGTAAAATAATAATTCAACTTACAAAGAGAAGGACTGCCAATAGGATCACAATTGCCTCCAGTCTTGGCTAACTTGTACATGAAGCGGCTAGAGTCAATGGCCATGGAAAGCGCAGAAATAAAACTCAAGTTGGCTGGGATATCTGGACGATACCTTCTTCATCTGGAACCATGGAAACGTCCAGCTGCAAAAACTCTTTGAACTCCTCAACAGCCTAAGGCGATCGATAAAGTTCACGATAGAAGACGAAGCCGTCAACGGGCTTGCATTCCTAGAACTCAGAGTGATGAAGAACAACAGCCAGACAGAAACCTCAGTATACAGGAAACCAACACACACAGAGAAATAGTACGTAATTCTTCAATCTATCCTGTGATCATGAAGAAAGGGATGGTTCAACATTCGTTGTTCGAGCTAAAGACATCTACAGCATGCAGGCAAGCTTAGAAGAGGAGGCCCACAAGATTAAGGAAGACCTGACATAGAACGGATACCCAAGAAGAATAGTAGAAGAAGTTTTGCGAGAGGACACTACAATCAGGATGAGCACGCCGAATGAACAGCAGCATACCTTCATAATACCGTACATGGAATTCATTTATAGTATATTAAGAATAATCGGCAACCAAAATCACATCGAAATAAGATTTTCAAGGAATATAACACTACGGAGCATTCTCGAAAAACCAAACCCAGGAAAGAAAATCACGACACCAAGGCCTGCACATACCACATTCCATGTGAATGTGGGAAAGTTTGCTATGGGAAGACGAAGATACCATTGGCTGTGAGATTGAAGGAGCCTCGACCTCACACAGAACGAGCCGCAAAAGAGAAATTAGGGATAGCAGTACACACACGGAAAGAACACCGCGCAATAAAATGGAAATACAACAAGATCATACTTGAAGAAGCACACTGGTATCGCAAAAAATTCAAGGAGCCAGCTTACATAACCAGCAACAGCAATATGTATAGTAAGGACAGCGTAGATATCAAACCAATATGGAAGCCTATCATTAGTAACATCAAGGCACAAGGTTAGAATAACCAGTGCAGACCTCCCGGAGAACATGGTACTACCAGTCACATCACCCAGGATACGTTGTCAAATAAGATACATGAGCGGTAACAGTATCAGGGTTTACCTACCTTTTTTCTGTTGAGGCTCCCGGACTATAAATTGAATTTTCATGCCTCCCTTTACTTTTTCAATAAATACAAAAAACGCACATTATACAGGTACAAAGACTTTTATTTTAAGAAACTTTAAAGGTTTAGATGAACTAATAAGTGTTTTTTATCGAATAACTTGAATAAAATAAGAATAGGTACCAATGAGACTCTTGAGATTGCATGTTCTGTACCTGATGGTTGATTCTAGGTTGTGTTTTTGACAGAGATATCACCAGGTCGCTATCGACATCAAGACGATTTCGCTGTTTGGTTTCAATTAGAACTGGAGCAGAAAAGCCTGTCTCAAAATTTATCCAAAGTTAAAAGTTGGAGTCACTTTTCATGGACGAATCAGCCTTCATTGCTATAAATTCTTCCTGAACTTCTTTTGGTAATTGTGACACATCGATAACAAACGGATTTTTTATCATGTGCCATATTGGTGACTCTGAATTGATGTCTCGATAGTGTCGGCGAAGTTCGCCTTCCAGCGCTTGCAAATGAGTTTTTATGTCACCATTTAAGTTTGTGTCCAGTATGCTATTTTTAATTGTTTCGAACAGCCGACAAAAAGGTATAACATTTTCAGAAGACACTTTTTGATTCCAAAGTTGAAGCTTTGATATGAACCCCTGAGTATAATCATAATTGCTTATTATAGTGTTGTTTCTGCCCTGAAGTTTCAAGTTTAGCTCATTCAAGGAGTCAAATATGTCAGTTAAATAAGCCAACTTTCATTGAAATGTGTCATTTTTGAACATTGTCAAGAAATCGTGTTTTTCTTTGAACTCAAGAAAAATAATTACCTTTCCTTCCAATTCATAGGCGAGCCAACATGTTGGCTTTGGACAGCTAGCGTACCTGCTTCTGTACGGAACAGAAGGACTTTGTGATCAGAATCGAGATCCTCGCAAAGTAAAGTAAATTACCTACTGTTCAAAGCGCTGCTCTTGATGGAGTTCACAATCCTTATAGCCGAGTCCAAAGTCTGGCGTACTTCCTGTGGCAACGTTTTGGAAGCCAGAGCTTGCCGATGAATAACACAATGTGTACTAACCATTGCGGGACTTTTTTCTCTGAGCTTTTTAGCTAAACCCGATCGTACACCTGTCATTGCAGGTGCACCATCTGTGCAAAGTCCAATGAGTTTCTTCCAATCCAAATCATTTTTTCAACAAAATTTGATATTGAATTAAATATATCTTCAGATGTAGTACCTGCTGTTAAAGATTGGGAGTACAAAATCTCTTCTTGAATGATATCTCCACCGATGTAACGAACATAAACTATTAACTGTGCACAATAAACGATGTCGGTGGATTCATCGCAACTAATGGCAAAAATGGCAATAATTTTAGTTTGTTAATTACTTGTGTACTTATGTCTGCTGCAATGTCGTCGATTCTACGCTTGACTGTGTTATTCGAAAGAGAAATAGACTTATATTTTTGCTCTGCATCTTCACCGATAGTATGATGTTTCTTTTGCTTTGCTATCATAACAGCTATTTCAAATGAAGCTTTGAGATGCTGTGATACACCTGTCTGATAATTTCCCGACTTGTCCAGTCACATCCGCTTGAGCGGTTCTGCTTTAGAAGAAAAAATATCTTTTGTTTTCAAAACCAGAGTAGGGTGTTGTTGCTTCAAATGCCTTTCAAAGCGATTGGGCCTCATGCTATAATTACTTAAAACTATCATACATATCACACACTGAGGCAATTGTAACTCGTCTTTTTCAATGAAGGTAAATCCAAACTTAACGTAATCTTCGGAAGACTTTCTTTTTTTCTCTGCCATTTTGCACCTATAACAATTAAACAAATAAGCAACAAATAAATAAGCAAAATACCTAAATGTAATTACTAATTATATGGCCATTATTTTATCTTAATAACGTAATGTATTCAACAGTATTTTGGCCACAGGGAGATTTATATTTTTGTACGCAGGTTGACGTTATAATAGTAATTTTAAATACATTCGGAATAAATATAAGGTACTTAATGTTCGTCGTTTCAAAATTATTTCGCCACGTTGTTTTGATTGTTATGTGATAAAAAAGTTCCAATGGTCGATCTATGAACGCGTCTCCACTCAATCAATAATCTAGTAAATTAAATAAAGATGGTAACTGAAGTTTGTAAATACACAAACTTACCTTTTAACAGTGAGACACAATAAGTTGACACACTCAAACAGATATCTCAACAAAACATGTACATCGAAACGTCAAATTTTTCGCAAGTTTGTGGGAATGAATGTCACAGATGATCATCCGCGTCTGGTAGGTACACAATTGTTTTCTAAGTGATAAATGTTAAGCAGAACGCGTGCGGAGGTGCGCGCGGACTTTATGTTGTGACTTGTCGTTTGTCTATTTTTTTTTGTTTTTTTTTCTAAAATGCAAACGCTTTCCGCCCCCCCTTGACATCTCTCTATGCCCCTTGGAAGGCGCGCTCCCTGGTTGGGAACTCCTGGTGTAAATAGCGTAGAAGGAAGATGAATACTAGTTCACCCGAAGACGATTAAAGATAACTTGTCAATCAAAACGTTGTGATCTCAAAATTCTAAAGACAAAGTCCGGAATAAAACAATTGAATTAAAAATGTCATGTCCAACTCGACATAATAAGCGATAAAATAAGCGCAGATTACCCACTAACTAGGATGATTGACTGTAAGCCTTTTAATGCCACTGAAACATGTCACACAATCGCAAATCTCATCCCAGGAGATCGCACGCTCATGCATTCGCCCCGTCACAAAGAACAAACAAAATAATTTATCGTGACATTTCCATTTTCTGGCTGACTCTCTCCCTCTCCTCCTTACTCTGAGTCTGACATAACACAACTTCATATATATGTATGTGGTCGAGTTAGATAAAGACGTTGAATTTCGTAGCTAAGGAGTTTGAAGGTCGCTCACGTGCATATCTGCTAATAATATAATGTATTCGACCTACCTTGAGAAAGTTACTTTGTGGGCGAACATTGGAGGTTATAAACATATTTTTCGATGGAATATTCTAGAATAGCGTGGAAGGAGCAGTAAATAACTGTGCTTGATGAGTAAAGCTTTATATGCGAATCAGTAGTGACTGCTTTTCCTGAACGCTGAATCTGATCAACAGTTTCGTTGATAATAATTTACACGTAAGCTTTTAGAGCTGAGGACAAACTGACGGCTGGCGACCTACCTCTGAAGACTCAGCAATTTCATGCAATTTAATGACTCAGTTAATAATATGCGGTTATGATGAATCCGTTCATTCCGGAGCTGAAATAACTAAGCATATGGTACATACTTTGTACAAACCCCAGACAAGACATGTCTTCAGATTTTGTTTACTTGACTGAGGTGCTTTTTTTTTTTTTTTAACGAGGGGGGAATGCATTTACGCACCATACCATAGCACGAGCTACGACGTGTGTGGGGCTCCAGGGTCTTGAAGAGATCACCTAATACCCACTAAACCCTAAACCTCCGCGTGGCCCGACTCATCAGCGTCTCGGTAGGCCATGTGTTGTGCGTGACCTGCGGTCTGCTACAACGTCTCCTCATGTGTTTCAGTCTCTGCGAACGCCGGGTTGGTTCCCTTTACCTCGCACATTCTATCGATGTCGTTAAGCGATCATCGATAGAGGGTCTGCCAGTTTCTCTTGAAACTCTTGTTTTCGAAAAATCAAGAGCTTCAAGTCCTCTTACCAATATGTTGTTCCTGGTCCTGGTCCTGAAGCGTCCTGGTCCTGATGGGTCCTGGTCGTGGCGGGTCCTGGTCCTGGTTGGTCCTGGTCCCGGTGGGTCCTGGTCCCGGTGGTTCCTGGTCCTCTGCATCCACGCCGTGGGGTGGGGGGGGGAGCAGCCGCAAGTTCTCCTAGTCTCCTAGTCCAGGTTCCAGTTAGCGGGTGCCAACTGGGACCTTGGTCTGGGGTACCTGGTTCTGCGGTTGCGAGGCCTCTCGTCCGGATCGTAGTCCATGAGGAATCGTAGCTGCTCGTTCGGGTGGTCCTGAGCTTTCTCGAAGGTCTTCTCCGCTTTTTTCCTCATGTACTCGTGGATGGTATCCCAATGCAGGTCTCTACGCAAGGTTGAGTTCCTTACGTAGGAAGGTGCATTGGTGGCGATCCGGAGTAGCTTCATCTCTAGAGCAGCAAGTCGCTTGCGGTAGCTGGGGGCAGCGTACCCCCAGACCGCGGAGGCGTAAGCGAGCTGAGGTCTGGCGATGGCCTTGATCAGCCGTAGCTTGGTCGCTAGCGGCATCTGGCTGTGTCTACCCAGTAATGGATAGAGTTGAGCCATGGCTGCTCTGGTTTTTGCGATGACAGCTTCTATGTGCGCTTTCCAGGTGAGGGACTTGTCAAAAACGATCCCCAGATATTTGACATTGTCGCTCCACTGGATATCTTCATCGAAGATGGATGCTTCGAGAGGTCTTGCAATCCTTCTTCGTTGAATGAAGATTGCCTGCGTCTTCTGGACGTTGATGCGGATTTTCCATTTCACGCACCAGTCCTGAATTTGGTCCAGTTCACCCTGTAGTCTTCTACGGATGATCTCGGGTCGTCTATGCTTGGCGGCTATAGCAGTGTCGTCTGCATATAGGGCCAGCATTGTGTCAGCTGTCTTCGGCACATCGTAAGTATAGATGTTGTAGAGCAGGGGGGCTAAGGCTGACCCCTGGGGCACGCCTGCTTCCAGCTGTCGTCTTGTTGAATGGCATGTACCAATCTTCACCGTGAACCATCTTTGTGTTAGATAGCTCTGGATTAGTTGGCACATGTTCGCATCGATTCCGGCGGCTTCCATTTTGGCGATGAGTCCATCGTGCCAAACTCGGTCGAAGGCTCGTTCCACGTCCAGCAGGACGAGACCGGTTGCCTCCTGGAGATTGAAGCCGCTGGTGATGTTTTCTGTCAGTCGTAGCGCTTGGAGTTCCGTGTTGTGCGAGGATCTGAAGCCGAATTGCTCTGGGGGGAGAAGTTGCAGTTCTTCTGCCTGCTTCTCTAGTCGAACGGCGATAGTCTTTTCGACTACTTTGCCCATCGAGGAAACCAGGCTGATGGGCCGGTAGTTCTGGGGCAACTTCCGGTCCTTGCCTGGCTTGGTGAGCATTAAAACCTGGGCTTCCCGCCACCGCCGCGGGAAGTGGTTAAGTCTCAGGGTGGCATTGGCGATGTTGGTGAGCGCAGCAATGCCTTAGGTGGGAAGGTTCTTCAGCATCCTGTTGTTGATGCCGTCCCTTCCCGGCGCCTTTCTGACCTTCAACCTGCGGATGATCAGACGGATTTCCTCTGGACTGGAGGGGTGATCCGTCTCCTGGCCAGGTGGTCGACTCCTCATGTTTTCAGCTGCGACTTCCACGGCCTCCTCGTGGTTGTCGTCCTCGTCTTCATGGTAATTGAGTCTGCATTCGGATTCTAGCGAATCGGCGAATGCTTCGGCTTTTTCTTCACTGGAGTAGGCCAAGCCGCGTTGGCCGTGAAGAGTGGGGATCGTGGTGCGCTGACGACGAAATTTTCGCTGCATAGACCAGGCCGTACCATCCTGGGTCTCTAGTTCTGCACAGGCTGCATTCCATCTGCTGTTTTGGAGTTCCGCGAGTGCGTTCTTCAGAGCTAACGATGCTCTGTTTCGCGCAACTCTCGACTCCTCTGTCAACAGCTGGACATGTTCTCGCTTGAGTCTTCTGTTCTCCCTGATCAGGTGCCTAATATGGTGCGGTGCTGGACCATTTAGGTGTCTAGGAACTGCCGTAATCTCGGAGCGGGTGCTGTCCTCGTGCGCTCGCAGGACAGCATTCTCCAGCTCCTCTACTGCGTTGTCCAGTTCCTCCGCTGATCGGATGGTTGGAATTTGAGTGATGTTCCTTTGGACGTTGGATTTGTACAGGTTCCAGTTCGTCCGTTTGGTGCTCAAGCTATCTCGAGTTCTAAACCCTGTGCCAAGTGTTAGTAGAATCGGATTGTGGTCCGACGATCCTTCCACCAGGGTCTCTATCTCGAACTCCTCTCTGATGTTGCGGAGGATGGCTATGTCCAGTACCGCAGGTCGCCCAAGGCCGAATGGAATGTAGGTTGGTTGCTCCGGACCGACGATGACCCCCGCCAGGGCATCGACGTGTTCCTGGAGCTGCCTTGCATTCCTGTCTTCGACGTTGTTGTTCCATGCCGGAGACTTGCAGTTTAGATCTCCGATGACTATGCGTGCTCCTGGGCCTCTCAGGAGGTCAGCGATGTCATCTTCGTCTAGGGCCTCCCCTGGTGGCACATATAGGGAGGTGATTCTGTAGGGACGGTGGTTGTGATGGACCTGGACCGTGATTCCGTCCCCATTTATGTCTGCGGTATCGTCGAGGACATGACTTGTCAAGGTACGTTTGACGAGTAATGCGACTCCTCCACCTCTGCCCCTTCTGTCGTAGCGGTACGTCTCGTACCGCGGGAACGTCAGACTATGGGCAGCATCCAACTTCGTTTCTTGGATGGCCATCACCTCTGGTTGGTACTGGTCTAGTATCTCCTGGATTTCTGGTTTCCGTGCCCTGAATCCGTTGATGTTCCAGGAGATAATGCGTGGAGATTCTACGTTTTGACCTGTAGACATTTCGGGTCTAGTGCTTGTCTTGCATCTTGGCCTCGAGTGCATCCAGGCGGGTTATGATGGCTTGCATCATTGCTAGCAGTCTGTCATCGCCGTGTTGCTTCTGCGCAGTAGTTCCAGTAGCAGTGGCGGCTGCTGGGGCAGAAGTGGACATAGGCTTCTTCGCTTTTTGAGCGTAAGAAGTCCTATTTGTGGTGGGGACTGCTTTGGGGGCAGAAGCAGCTTTCTTCGGCGCCTTACTACATCCCTTGTAGTTGGCGGGGTGGCCTTCTCCACAGAGGCAACACTTGGCGTTTCGTTGCCCTGTTGGCGGCGCTGGCAGACTGCAGCTGGTGCTGTTGTGGTCCTCTCCACACTTAACGCACCGTTCAGCGAGACGGCAGTTCCGCTGTGTGTGCCCGTACCGCTGGCAGCGGTAACATTGGCTGGGCTCGGAAGACTTTTTCTTCCTCTCGAAGCTGACCGTGAGCATGGCCAGCCTCTGGATCTCTGCAAGCTTTTCCGGCATCTTCGTCTTGACGAGGAAGAGCGGGAGTGGCTTCTTTGTGGTCCTTGAGGTCATCTGCTGAACCTCGGCGTCTGCGATGCCTTGGCTCACTAGATCCTCTTTGATGTCGTTGACTGACATCTCCCTCGGAAGCCCACGAATGACCCTCTGGTCCATCCTGTCCTCCTTCAGTTGATAGGTGAAGAAGGGCCGCTTGATGGATTCCAGCAGTGCGACTAGCTGACGGTAGTCAGCTGGTGTATTTGTGAATACCATCACACTGGTACCCGCCGTCCTAGCTTTGGAGAATTGAATCCCCTTGCTGTTCATCATCCTGCTTAAGGATGACCAATCAGCGGTGCCCTCGATGTTGATTGGCGGAACTCCTGTTCCTGCCATGGGGGCCTCGGTGGTCCTGGTTGCTCTAGGACCTCTCTTCTTGGTGGCAGCTGGCATCTCTGGCTGCCTGGGTTCTTCTTCTTCTTCGGAGGAGGAAACTCGCACCCGCTTCCTCCGTCTGGTGGCGACACTGAAATCGGTGTCGTCCGTCCTCTTCTCGGCTTTTTCTACGTCGATATCTTGGGCATCCATGTCCAAGTTCTCCGTAGGCTGCTGGTCCTCGTCTCCCTGGTCCTCTCCTTCTTCTTCTTCCTCCGTCTGCTTCGCTTTCCTCTTCGCTTTGAGGAGCTTCCTTTTCACCTCATCGATCTCATTCCTCGCCTGCTCGAATGCTTCTTGCAGATTTTTCATCTGCTCAGCAAGCATTGCGAAGTTCTCCTCCTTCTGCTTCAGCTGGCTCGCCAGCTTTTCTATTCTCGCCATCGTGGATGGCGATCGTACCGTGATGAAAATCACAGTAGGATCGCACTGTAAGTCCGGGTTGGTCGCAGTCGCACAAGTGTATACTCGCGACGGCTGCTAGCTCGGAACTGCGAGGTGCTGTTGCTATCACTACGCTATTCATACTTGGTGAGTTCAGGCGGAGTGCCATCCTACTAGTTAGTGATACTTTTTTAACAAACAGTATTAAGCGCCCCTCACATTCACGGGCGCGCATTGTTTCGGAACACCGAAAAGCTGACAAAGAGGTTAATTTCTACGGCACTCAGACGATGTTCAGCAGAGCAGGTTTTTTTGACAATAATACTGTTTTCGTCCATTCAATTAACAAGCACCAGAGCAGAGCAAAGTATCTTCTATCGGTGATATTGGGTCTATCCAACAACTACCATCTATTACCAGAATCGACCTCTGCGAAAGTGAGCGGCTGCTATCTTGGAACCAGGGGTCTGAAAGTTAGATGAATAGCGCTTGTACTCCTTCGCGGCATCTAGCACTCACTATTAGTCGCATTATCACTGATTCCCCGTTAATATATGAAGAACTGTTCCCAGGGGGTTCCGTGCTTCCGTGTCATGCGTATTAAAAATTGACGCTTCATTACTTCAAGCGTGGTTCGAACTTAAAAATCAAATCCAAGCGAACAACCAAAATTCCTGTATTATGTACCGCGGCTGAAATATGATTTGAGATGACACACGACTTGATGACGTCCGTTATTCGAATCGCTTGAACGCGTTGGTTTTAACCGCGTTTTTGTTGCAAGTTGTTTATTTTAGAAAAGCACATATATAATTTCTGATTAGTTTTATTATCACTTAATAATTGGTGCTTTTTCATCTACAATAGTGTTGGGGGAGTTTAAAAAAGAAACCTTTCACAATATTAATGTGAGAAATGTTTTTTTTCAGAAAACATTTTTTAATGGCTTTGTAGCTATGATAACTTTCAGTTCTCTAAACCTTTCCGCATGTCAAAGAAAACATTTATTGATTTAGCAGAAATGATAGGAACAAACGATGAAAAAAGATATTAGCAAACCGTATACTGGTGGACATGATCCACTGAGATTATATGGCCAAATTTTAGTATTCTTGTGGTATCCGGCTAGACAGGATACTTTGTTAAGCATAGGAACTCGATCTAGTGTCCCCAACAAGAGTAATGAGTATAACTAATAAGGTGCTCGACTTTATGCTACAACTGAAGTCAGCCTGTATCAAGTTTCCCAAAAATGAAGCAGAAGTACAACAAACATATTCAATACCCGGCGAAATTCTAACTTGTCACATTTCAAATAATAACCAGAAGTATAAAACTACTCCTGAGTTGGGTAAATACTACAATTCTGCGGTGATAACTAAGACATATAACAGCTAATTCATGACGTTACGCATCTTATAACCAAACTGATAACCACACTCGCTTGAACGGATCGGTAAATACCAATCCAAAATGGTAAATACCATTTTCATTTGGTTAATATATTTGCTTGAATGTGATAAAAGAGTATCTTGCTACTATCTCTTCGAACGGCACGCTACAAGTACTTTGTGTTAAAATATTAATCTGCCACCATACATTATTTATTAGTTACAAATAAATTACTTCCAGGTTGGTTCAGACAAATAAAATATTGCTTCGTTAAAGGATGCAATAGCCGAAATAGTATCAAATCGAAGAATATCTTACAAAATTGGGAGAAGCGACAAGCAATCAGATAATGACCAATTTAGCAATTTAATTGTATAAGATTAAGTTTTTGGGAGATATTTTTCTGCAGATAAGGTGAAATTGTTGAAAATGAAGTGAAGACACATTCTTTCTTCGTGCCAGTAGGTCTTGGTCTTGTATTTGAATTTTGTGTATATATCTTTCCAATTACGTGCGATACAGCTGAATGTATTTAACAAAAGTCAGTATTATCAGACAATAAAAGTGGATAGAGTAACTAATTGCTTACGCAGCAACAATAAACGACAGTGCTTTTTCAGTTCAATGAGTAATCAGAACCACATATGCCTACTGATTGGACGTTACTTTTCGGTTGACTATGTGTACCCATTTTTTAAGTACCTACTAATCTACATTCTTCTCTAGCTGTTTCTTCAACTTCAAAAAGTCTATTTGTTCAGAAAATATAGTTTTATTATTGGCTAGTAGAAACTTTACAAAGGGTGTTGATAATGTATCGGGACAAAATTCAAGGACAATTTCAAGAAAAGAATTCATATGGACTTTTATAACATATGTCCAGAATTGCTCCATCTCTAAGGCCCGTATCGTCAGTCGTCCCTATAATTGTAGGGCGCGTTTATGGCCTCCTTGATTGTCATACTTCTTTCTCTCCTTCAAAAATTTCTAGATTACAAAATTTTCCATTTTATATCTCGCTTTAAAAAGCGTTACACGTTTTCGATTACTTTTATTAAAAAAACCAATTACAATCATCAGAAAAAACAGCTGATCATACATCCAGAAATTGTCATAAAGAGCTTGATACTTCTACATTTTACTTCACCACATTTTTCTCATCCAAGTTTATGTAAATTCTTTGGAATAATCCAGTAATAACAAATTTTAGCTTAATCGGCTATACGGTTAAATTTTGACGAAAAAAAAAATCAATTACAAATGAAGTTTTCCACCCTATATCGAAAGCGAAATCTGTTCGAACCCACGTACATATAAAGTTGTTTCCTTTAATTTACCCAGGAAATCACCTATGAACTTTAGTCAGGTGCCTTAATGCATTTGTCTACAGTTTTCTGTAACGCCTTTTGTCAAGCACAACAGATGACTTTTGCCATGAGAATTTAGTGTCAATTCACACTTAGAGAGTGTCTTGTCTATAGTTGATATGAGCGGAATCTGCAACTGTTTATTATTTCGTGCGCTTTGTTGGTGCAGACATTATAGTCTAATCATATTAGACGAAAATACCTCTGGTTTGCCAAATAGTTGTAAATTCTGGTTTTATTGCTGCAAGTTGTTCAAGGGGGTATCTAAAACATGGACGCATAAAATGGGTAAACCAATTTTTGTGAGAAAACTTTTTATTTAGACAACAAAGAATGAGAAAACATGTTCTTTGGCATTCAAGCGGAGGTGGTGGCAGGAACGAAAAGATAAGATTTCATGAGACCTACAAACTGAGACCACACGTAAAAGAATCTGACTATTAGGAAAAAGGTTATTGCCGAAAACCGAGGCAAGCTGCAGCTTTGGTACTTGGTAATGCGACGACGCTTACTCGAAGATATTTGAAATTCTTCAAATTCGTAGGATTCGTACTTCTCAATAACCACATCGAGATTGGAGTAGTTTGGTCAAGTAACTTTTGAGAATTCATAATTGTTTATCCCAAAACACCTGTTTTCCGGCCATCACTATTAGTTTATTGAGCAATATATAGGGTTCGTTCGAAACGCATTTTATAGCAAAATACACTAGTTTAACTTGCCGATATGAGTCGCAAACCATTCCGAAAGCTAGGTGTTATTTTTATCCAAAAAAGAATGGGTTAGGTTTTTTCTTCTGAAAAAATTAAAACATTTTGTACTTGTGAGTAATTCGCAAGAAAAGAAGATAGACAGATCAGGTTTATATTAAAATGTGTATAGTGACGTATGTTTTTCGAATATTGTAGCGCATTTGTTCAATTACTCATAAATACGAAATGTTTGAATTTGTTTAGAAGGAAACATAATCTAGAAATCGTACGATGAAAAATGTCGTGCGATTACTGTTTCAAAAAGCGTGACACATTCGCGCGACACAAATCATGCATGTCCTGCTGGGCATCTATTTCTTAAACTTGTACAGATATCAGATTCCTATGTTTTCTCAGATTCGATTGAAGGCACGTGTAGAACATGAGTCTTCAGCAATCACTCTAATCAGTCGACCCTGCCAGAGTGTTTTATATATCAAATGTTTTGCGTTAGTATTGTAATTGACTGTTATATTTGTAGCCTCCTGGTATATAATTCCAGCAAACTTGGGGATGTTTCAAAATCATTTCCACAAGGAACGTGTTAATACAATACAGACAGCAGACACAATATCTTTATATAACAGCGAATGTAACACTTTTCTCCGCATTTCAAGAAATATTGGCATGATGTGTCCTAGTTCCAGAAATAGTTAAGTCACATGAGACACAAGAGGAGCCCATATAAGTAGATAATAGAATTGGAGATATACAGTTACATACATGCGGAATACAAAAATGTTTCAGATGATTCACAATATCTATTTCTGTGTCGTATTACTTTCAAGTTTTTGATAACTTTTAGGCTTAGCCAAAGACATCCTGGATGCTTCTCAAACTTCTGATCATTCAATGGTACAACCTGTAATTCTATAGGGAAGGGTAATTTTTTTAAATGGGTATTTCGGTAGGTGACATTCAAGTAGCGTTTGACTATCGTCGATTTTCAATTTACATGTATGGAAAATCTGGATGTTCCAGTCAATCTATCTATAACCGCTCAGCTTTAACTTTCAACCTCAAAGTTCCGGATCTTGTACTATCTCGCACCACAAGCTCATTTCTC